TTTGGGGGGTGATGGAGTTATTACTTGACTTGAATGTGCACCCTAGGGTGCTTTGTGTAACATATTGTACACTACAGCATCTTATATTTTTTTGAGTTATGAGTTTCAATAAATTACAGTTTTTCACCCATTTGTTTATTTTATAGTAAATCTTTAATGTGGTTTACTTGTAACTGAATTTGGGACCATTCTGAGTGCATTGACAATGTTGCTTAAGTTTTATGCATTTGTAGATAAATGTTCATCAGACTGATGAAACAATATAGATACAGAAAAGTAAAGTATTACATTTTATTCTATAATATTTTCTGTGCTTTTTTCAGACTTTAAGTGGCAAGTGCTTTCTGCCTGTACTAATTACAATTCTTTAGAGTTCAGCAAGTCCTAGTTACCTTTCCTGAGTGTATGGTACAACACAAGTGTTTGAAAAGTGTTACCAGACTTCCAAGACAGTTGTGTCACATGAAAGTGTTGGTGCACATTTTGGGTTCCCTAGTTAGCCTTTTTGGATAATGAATGAAACCTAGCTAGAAGATTCACCAGAAGAGTAATCTAGTATTTTAAGAGCTGTTTCTTGTTCTTCTGTGTCTTGTTCCTTGCCATACTTCTGGATACATCATGAGGCCTGGAATCCATTTCCCCTGCAAGTGGCATTTCCCAATTTTCATGAGAATGCAATGAGCAAGCAGCAATCACAGCTGCTTATTGATTGAGGGCTTGGGGTTTATACTGTGATCTGAAAAGCAGCAGTGGAAAGGAAATGGAGAAAACTTGGGAAATGTTTAAAACAGACCATGAATATTGGCTGGGTGCAGGAATGAAGAAGGCTATCTAAAAAACTATCTGGAGAACTGTTATGACTAAAACTAGGCAGAAATGACATCTTCATAGTACACTTTAAAAAGTTATTTGGGCATCCTTAAAATAAAAGTTAGATTAAAAGTCATACACCAAGCAGCAGAAGTGTAGTTCATTGCATATCTTGTTCTGTCACTTCCTTTCTCTAAACTATAAGCTGCTTATAATGAAAGGAATGTGGTGCATGAATCTTCTTGCTAGCTTTTAAAAATGGAAGTAAGTTAGGGACAAAAAGTTAAATACTACAACAGGGTCAGACACCTGAAGTGTATTCCAAACTTATTTTTGTCTCTTTAAAAGAAAAAGTCTACCTTTTAATGTCAGGCTTGTGTTATGTTCGAACATACTTGAATCTTCAGGATCTCAAAACAGGAAAAGACATCAATTGCAGACGTAATAAACACACGATGACTGTTACAGGTAATGTGCCCAGAGGGATAGCAGTACACTGCTGGGTTTTGTGAGTATCCCACAAAGCAATCTGTCCACTTCAATGCCTAGAGAAAGAAAACTGGTCAGCATGAATAGTAAATTCAGTGAGGTTTTGAGGCTTTGGTTTCATGTCAAGCAGCTGTATTTCCACTAGATAACCAGAGCTTCAAATGTGACAGTATTAAAGAATTCAATTATTTAAAATACTCATTTTGAGAGAAATTAGATGAGAATGCAGGAATAAAATGAGACAGAATACGTATATATGCCAGAGACCAGAGAAGTGGTGAGACAAAGGCAGTATGCAAGCTCTTGCTTTATGTAGTCCTAAAAATGTACCAAATCTTTTAAAAATTAGTTTTGATGTCATTGATTGTTTGCTACAACTTCAAATGCTGTGAGTACAGTCAGGAAAATGGAAATGATTAAATGCAAGGCTGATACTTAATGTGGTGATAAATTAGCTGAGTCATGAGAGACCAGTAAAGAACTTTCTAAATGGGGAATAGCAAGGAGAAATAGATTCCACCAAAGCCAGTATCTGCAGACTTAAAAGGTAGGACACAATTTTGTGATGACTCCTTAAGCTAGCTGAGTCCTCTTTGAAGGTAACAAATGTGTATGTTCCTGAGACAGTTGCATCATGTCTGATACTGACTGCCACTTCCATCCATGAGCACACACTGATGGAAATCTGCTTTGTGCAAGGACCTGAAATTATCTTGAGTGACCTGGGGACAACTTGGTTTTCATAAGTTTGAAAGGTAATGCTCCTATATGTTTGCAGAAGCCAGAAACCAGAAGAAAATTTAAAAATTAAATGGGATTTATTTCCAAGGTGCTGCTTTATGATGTAGAAGCAGCTTTTGGTAAATAGGGTATTTATGTAGTATGTTGCAAATAATGTAGTTTTACAGATTTTTTTTTTTTTATAGTACTTTCACAATAGTTCCAATGTCTTTGCAAACCTGAAGGCATTTAAACATGGACTTTTTGCTTTCCATTTTCATCAGTTTAGTTGACAGTTGGAAATCTGTTTAACTGGGGTAACAGTTCAGTGTGATCATTTTACCTGTATGCACAAGAAAACTTCCCAGAGAAGTTTGCATTTATTCTTTTAGACTTCATTCATACATCATTCACTAGACCTTCCTCTAATGAATATTTGAGGTTCTCAGAGAATAGAGACATTACTGTTTTGAGAAATGCCGCAAATGGTACAGCTCCAATTGCAGATCTGAGCTTCTCCCCCCACCCCACGCTTCCCCATTGCCCATGCGATATTTTGTACATATTGTAACCTGAAGGTGGATAAGATTTCCCTTTAACTCCCCAATCACAATTTCCTTCTCTTTGTTTTTACACTTGACCTATACTCAAGTTTGTACTTAAACTTTTTTCAAGTTGTTTTCTTTCTTTTCTGTTGTTGCTTCTTGGAGTCGGTGCTGACAACTTTCTGCTCAATAAGAAGCCATGATCACAGATTCCCAGTGAACAACCTCATGGAATTTGTGAATTAATTCTTTTTATAATTAAAAAGATCCTGGGACCACAGAAGTTGTCCAGAAATAAGGAACAAAAGAGTTTCTGCCTGGCATGCGTGAAGCTTTTCTGGTTAAAAGATAAAAACTGTACAAGAGTTTGCCTAAGACTGCTGGATAAATTGCCACATGAATGGAGGCTTATTGCAAATAAGCCAACATACCTCACAGTGCTGCTCTCTCACTCTTCTAACGTAAATGTAGGAATGGGTTCACTTACAATTCGGTGTCAAAAGCAGCAATTCAAAATGCAGGTGGTTCAGAGGTACCATGTGTCCTTGTAGTGTGACTAATGAACAAAATAAAATACATAGTGGTGCAGCCTTGCCTCTCCCTTCAGAGCATGGCTTCCTACTTCCTGCTGTCAAGCTCCAAAGTTATGGATCATTTTCAAACTGACTCTGAATGAGTTTGTATATTTGTAATTTTTTGTATACTGTTCATAAAGCTCTGCTGCAAACTTGCTGCCAAAGAACTCTACAAAATGATACAAAATTAACTTTATACCATCCTACTGTGTTTAAGTTGTGTATTACAGTTCTTCAGTGTTCAGCTTTCCTATTAAAAAAATTTATCCTGCCACTTGTATAAACAAATTTGCATATTAAGCATGAATTTTGTGACAATTGTAGTTCTGTAATCCCATGGAACAGTTGTGTGAAACTTTTAATTCCTTGAACATATTCCGCTCTTCCTAAATCAGTTATTGTTTGCACGTAAATTACCAGCACTATACACAGGGCAAGCTTGTACAAATTACATCTCTGAAGTATTTTGTAGATCCTGTTGAGTAGGCTGCTGCTGTTACTTAAATTCCTGCTCTTTCCATAGACTTGAATATAATGCAGGACAAGATAAAGAGACAGACCTTTCCGTCTGGCAGCTGTGGAGACAGGTCCTGCGATACTTTTCAATCCAAAAATTGTATTTAGAAAGTGGCGAGTGTGTTTTCCTCAGTGGTTGTACACAAGCATCTTAGAGGCATTTTCCTCTGGTGCTGTGGCATCCTGTGTGCTGCTGGGATTTTTAATACTGTGGTCTCAGCTTGTATTCGTATTTCTGTTGAAACATAACCAACGCTGCACTCATCTATCAGCTAGTTACAGAAATAACATCTTACCCATTTCACATACTGACAGTGTGTTTCAGGTTTTGAACTCTACTTGTTTATCATCTACAAAATGCAGTACCATCTCAGCAGGGTAATAGATGTTACACGATCAAAACTGAACTATACAGTTTGGATCCACATCCTGATCCTGATTTCTTTTGGGGCTTGTTTGTCTCATCTTTTTAATTGCCTAGCTCTGGTGGGTGTTGGGGAGGGAGGCCACAAAAGGGCAAAGGTCTGACATTAAGAGGTTTTATTGCCTATGTCTGTTTTCACGTCATAGAGTAGGCCATCATTTTTCCTTCCAAGTGCTACCAGAACTTGTCTTGCAGTGAAGATGTAACATTTCCCGCTTCTTGCTTTCACACATAGGGGAGAAACATTTTGTTCTGCAGTAAAGGAACACCACCAGGTTGACTTCCTGAAATAGGATTCTTACTGTAAACAGCAGATGCCTGAGAAAATGTAGGTGCAAGTTCATAATCATGGTGTGTTGGTCCCCTTTTTAAATTGTTGTCTTCAGGTGTGTGGATTTTATAGGAAAACATGTTTATCGGTTGTGCATGCCCAAATTCCCTAAGGCCGTGAGCTGCCCTACCATGTTCCCATGGGTAGTAGAAAACTGTGAATACCATTACAAAGAGAGACCTTCTAGGCTGACTTATGTACTTCTGGCAGGGCTCTCAGGAGAGCCAATGGGTCAGTTCAGTGGTTTTGCATGTCTGTTTTCTGGCTGTCTTTGTTCATGCAAGACCTTTGAATTTTATGATACTGATAAAGCCTTGTGACACTGTATCTCACAAATTCTGCATCTTGGCTGCAGTGAATTATTTGAGGGAAATTCAATTTCCAGTTAAGTCCTAGCATGTCTTGTCAAGAATGGTTATAGCAGAGAGCAGGGGAGGCTTAAATGAAACCACCTTGCCATTGTCTGGTGCTGTCATGGGCAAAACCTGTTCTTCTCTCTCTCCTAAAGTTTAACTGCTGGTGCCCTTGAGCCCTTCTGCTCTCCTGACGCCCCACAGCAGTATTCCCCCAATTTTTTTCCCTATGCCCACATGAGCGTGAAGGAGGTGAGGGTGGAATAAGAGAGCTGTTGCTCTTCCTTGAAAATGTTTTAAAAAAGGAAGTAGGTGAGGAATTAGTCAGGATGCAGTGTGGTGGTGGGGAGGGATCTGGCTTGGCCAGCTTCCATGAATTGCTAGAGCTTCCTCTAGGAAAGGAGAATAGCGACAGCCAGTAACGGAGCTCACCCAGAGGAGCACTGCCTTGTCTTTTGTGGCAGTTGGCACAGTTAGTATATTTTCTGGAGGGACATACCAGCTTACGGAAGAGAGAAGGCTGGGTTTTAATTTATTTGCCAGGTCATTCTGCTAAATAGTTACAAATGGTGACTGATAGAAAAAAGAGAAAATTAAGTTGTCATTATTTTATTAGAAGTCAATGATGAAAAATCCACAGACAAGTTCTGTTATACTTTAGACTGGTAGAAATAAGATGAATGACTGATACTAAAATGCTATCTCAAGAACTGGCTAAAACCAAGCATTCATTAACAACCCTCTTACTGCATGTCTATCAAGTTACACGTTCATTGTGCTCTGTGTGGTATGTGTGTCCCCAGTACTGCCGTAGCAAGCTCAGTGGTTTTCAGCAGCACCTATGCGGTTTTCACTTAACATTACAGATACCAAATATGAAGAGAGCGTTTTGACTCTGAATAAATATTTGAGTCCTTATAGGGCTCTATAACTTTATATTTCCCAAAACATTTTCAGTTTATTCTGGTTCAGAAAGGAGGGCACCTGCTTGCCTTCAGAATGAGCTGGGTTAGGCAAAAACTATGACAAGCAAGGCTTAAAGTATTTTAACACAAATGAGGTCTTTGGTCCTTGCTACAAAACCATGTAAATGTGTGAGCACAGAGAGTGGGAGAGGGAGAGAAGGGGGTTGGTGATCTGCTTTTGATGGCAGCACTGGTACAAGTCAGCTTCAAATGCTCACTGAGATGAGTGAGGTAGTGAATGTTTCATTGCTACCGAAAGGAGTTTCTGCTTCTCTGTTCCCAGCTGCGTTCTGCTGTTTTCTTTGTGCCAGCTCTGGCACTTCTGTGAATTTAACTCCATGAAATGGTAGAAAACAAACTCAGCAACAGTAACGTACAACTAAGTACCTTTCTACTATTGCAGTGCAAGGAAATAGGGCTGCAACTCAAAGATACAAGTTATTAATGCTATTGGGGCTACTGTTAATGTGAGAGATTCACATCCCGTTTGGATGCCCTTGCATCCTTGCTCAGGCCTGTATCGTGGCATCTCTCATTACCCCAATTTCTCAGACTTCCTATCCCAGTCCTCTAAGCAGGCATCCCCTCTTCTGTACTCTGGTCTCTCTACTCCTATTTTCTTCTTGTGTTATAATCCATCTTGTCTTCCTTTTCACAAGGAAACTCGGGCTTCATCTCCTTACCCAGAAGTGCAGGTCCTGCCCCTTGCTTACTCAGTGAGAATGGAATCGCCCAAAAATAACAGCTCAGACTCTGGAATCACTGCCTTCCTAATGTGATCATGCCTGGCTCTGCTCTGCAAGTGTCCCCTCTACCCTCAGTTTCTTCTACTGTAAGCTCTCATGGTCCTTCACATGAGTAAATTACTGTTATGTACCAAGTTACTGCTACCTCAGCTCATCTCCAGGGATGGGCTGTAGCAGCTGCTTGTCTCTGTGGCAGATCTCTCTCTGGTGGCTTGACCAAGAGGGCCCAATTACCTTGAATTCTCTGTTTTTAAAAAGACAAGAACCCACATTCTGGGAATTCCCCTGCAGCAATATCTGTCTGTCTGCAATAGGGAGTCCCAGAGCAAGCAGCCAAACAAATGACTTTATGGAACATGTGTTATGCCAGCCTGCTTTATTTTAAAAAGGACTTAACAGAGCTTACTCTAGTAGAATTAGAGTGTGTGAGCCAGCACAGGAAGGATGCACAAACAACCACAAAACCACAGATTAAATCAAAGTGTACATTTATTTTCATTACCTCGCCATCCAGGGAATCCCCGAAGCAGCACCCGGGCAGAGGAACACAAGTGGGGACACAGGCACCATGGAGCTCGGTCCCTGCTAGAGGACCCCTCAACCTGCTGTTCTTGCCTGTTTATCAGGGATTCACGCAGATGTAGTTTGCCACTGTGCTTTCATCTTTCCCACAGCAAGGCGAGAATCTCAAGCATGTTTGATAAGGTGCCTCGAAGTCTATCACAGGCCTATGGTATCTAGGCACGGATGTTCTACTTGTCAAGCACACAAGACTAAACAATGATTAGTATGATATATGTGGGGTCTTTTTCTACACCCCAACTGCAAGTCACTTGAGTGTGTTTACAGTCCTCCTTGCCAATCTTCTGTTATTTTCCCCCAGTGAGTATTAGTTTTTGCACTTCGCTTCTTTCAGTGTGGCTGCAAAAGGATTTGGTCACGTACTAGTGAGGCTTTATATGCATTATTGTGTGCAGTCTGGGTAACTTGTACTGAAGAAAAGTAATTTAAACATCTTGCGTACAGACTGCAGTACCCAGGGAATGAAAAGTCTAGTGGATGAAGAAAAACTAACAGCCCTTGGATTTGTCAGCAAAAGCACCCCGAGGAGGAGTGTCTCTCCTGTCTTCCCCTCACATAACATAGGGAAACTGTGAGCTTACAGAGAGCATTGCACAGAGCAAATAAACAGGAACACTGTCAGGAAATCAGGAAGAAAAAAAAAAAAGTTGCAAATTATTAGAGCAGTTCTGGAAGATCTTTTCTGTAGAAGCAGTGAGGAAAGAGACTTCTGTGAGCTTGTGAAAGGGTGGAACAGAGATGACTGGCTCTAGCAAAAATTGTATCTATCCAATAATAAAGGAATGCCCTTCAAGCTGTATGCTAAAGCAACAGAGAGGAACTGTGTGACAGTCAGGAGTTTACTCTTTCACATTTTAGGTCACTAAGAAACTCCCTGCTTATCCAAGCAGGCCTTCTGCTGAAATTCTTAGTTTTACTGGGGAGCAGGGAGGGCGTGAGGGAGTAGGAACAGAGAAGCAGCAACATTGTGTTTGGGAAAGGTAATTCAGCTCTAGCGTGTAAGTTCTTGTGCAATACTAGGACGAATGGCAGATGTAAATAGGTGCAGACAAGGATTGCTGAGTAGCAGCAGCAGGAACCAGCAGAAACTATCAAACAGCAAAGACTGGTGGAAAATTTCCTAATGTTATCAGACAGAGCCGGCTGAAAAGTATTTGGGAGGGGTGGAGTTGGAGATAGGGTAGGATTTCACATCCATGTGGGGTAAACAACACAGCATGAAAAAGATATTTTGATAAATAAAACACTGAGTGGAATAAGGGATTCCAGATTTATAGTTATAGGAGGAGCAAAACTATGCAAGATGAAAATGTGCAGCTGCTGTACACCTGTCATCTGTGATGAGCACAAGATGCTGCATGGCACTGCTGGCACAAGTGTCCATACAGCCCAGGAGTCCTCAGGAGCACTACAGGGTAAAAAGTTGCTAGACACTACAGACAGGAGGATGAGTTTTCTGTGGATCTTAGTGCACCTCTTCCTTCAGAAGTGTGTTGTGTCCTGTTCCTGCAGAACACACACCATGCCCCAGTCACTGAACTCAGCTGTCTCTAGGAATATGACCCCTCTTTTCCCCAGCCTATTTCCTTTGGGTTGCCAAGGTTATACCAGGTCACCTGCTGGACCTTTGGGACTGTGAGAAAACCTTATTAAGTAACTTGATCAATGCCTGTGCCCTGATGCCAGGCCCAGAAGTGCAGTTCCAACAGTGTTTTCCTTGATAGTCTGGTTGAGACTATGTTGATGGATTTGGAGGTGATGGAGAAGGGAATAAGGCACCCTTTCTCTCACTTGCCAGACCTGTGACAACGGGCTCCCCGTGGTCACAGAATCCTTCGACCCCTTCACCCTTACCTGCTGCTCAAGCAGAATCAGTGAGAGCAGGTTACCTAGGACGATGTCCAGACGGCTTTTTAATATCTCCAAAGATGGAGAATTCACAACGTCTCTGGACAACCTGCCCCAGTGTTTGACCAGTAAAAAAGTGTTTTCTTTTGTTCAGATGGATTTTCTGTTTTTTAATTTGTGCCCACTGCCTCTCGTCCTGCCAGTGGGCACTTCCGAGAAGAGCCTGGCTCCCTCATCTTCATTCTCTTGCGCTAGATATGTACACACATTGATAAGGTCCCCCCTGAGCCTTCTCTTCTCCAGGCTGAACAGTCTCAAGTCTCTCAGCCATATGAAGGATGTTCCAGTCTCTTCATCCTTCTCATGGCCCTTCACTGGACTCACTCCTGGGCACAGACAAGATCACTGTGAAGGTGAGCTCAGTGATGTAGCTCTGTGCCAGGCAACGTGATCCCTCCTGACCAGACCCAGGTGGTCCCAGGTTGGAGCATCTTGGACAGCTGATGCACATCTTGCTCCACTTAGTACATAGTGCCAGGCTGTTATTTGACTTGTAGCAAAGACTACATGGGGAGGGAAACTATCCCTTGGGGAAACTGTAGGAGTTTGGCTTTGACCTCCACTATGTGAAGTTCCTATGGATGCTACATGCTGCTAGAAAGTGCTTGGGCAAGTTCAGAAGTGTATTGACCTAGCTGATCAGATTGACTTGGGAGTTGTATTAAGTTCGCCCGTGCCCAACCAATTCTATTCCATTGCTATCAAGCCACTCCTCTGCCTCTTCTGGAGGAAGATGATGGGGTTGGTGCTCTACGAGCTGGGCCTGTTGATGTACACCATCAATGTTCTCTCTGTGATTCAGGAGACCTGGTGCATGTGAAGGCCCACAAAAACATCTTCTCAGTGTCCTCCTCTGCGGACGGACCCAGACGCAGACCAATATGATCAATGCTGAAGCCACTTTATTAAAATACTTAAACCATTATATACTTTTTACTACAACGTGGGCCAGCTCTGCGGCTTGTGCTTATTGGTTTCTAGACTTATACACACAAACTATTATTGGTTAAATGTGGCTGTAACTTATTATCTACACTTTGTTACTATTTCT